TTTTTATTTACATTTTCTCTTTGTATGCAGGAAATTAAATTCTTAAATATGAGGTGACCTGCTGGCAGAGTACCTTTTTCCTCTCCAAAGGAACAGTTTCTAAAGTTTTCTGGGGGGGAAAAAAAAAACTTACATCAAATTTAAACCATATGTTAAACTGCATATTAGTTGTGTTACACCAAAAATTGCCTCAGCTGAACTATACAAGTTTTAAAATCACTAATATTTGATCTAACTTTAATTCACATAAATTATCTTAAACTGATCATAGATTTTCTTCAAAATCTTTGAGAAAAACCATACCCAACTCTGTGGTCATTTAAGGGGTATTAAAGAACTTATGAAAGTCTTCATTAAATCCTATAACTCAAGCACAGAATTCTACTCAAGTTATCTAACTGAAAAAACAAAACAAAAAAACCCTACTACTGTTTCCATATCCACCACTTCAGGATTCAGGTTCTAAATAGTGGCAGATTTGAATTTCCTTAAACTGCCCACTCTGGTGTTAGAATAAGTATCTCAAGGGGTTTAAAAAAAAAAATCCTGTAACTCTGAAACAAGCTCCATGAAGTTGAAAACTCCAGATACTGGTACCACCTTAAAAAGAGTATTCTCTTAACTTAGGAAAGTTTATTCCTATAGCTATCATTATCTTAAGTGCAAAGTGGTTCTGGGAGGCACTCTGTGTCTGGTATTTAAGCTACAGTATGAACAGGCACACATTTATTTACAGTTACCAGGGCAAGTTCATTTAAAACTGTTACTGTTTTTAATAATTAAACCAGCTTATACTTGTCCACTTTAGTGGCCTTCTGACAAATCATGGAACAAAGTCGTTCTCTCAAAGATTTCCAATAGAAAAAGGCCTGAAATAAATATTAACTGAAATTGTGCTGTTTATTACTGGTTTATAAATAACGAAGCTTAAAAGAAGATACTCATAAACTAGGTCATACTACTCAGGACCTATCTTGATTGCATAACAAACTGAAAAGACAAAATTGAAATTACAAAAAAAAATTCGACAACTCTTACTAAACTCAACCCAAATCTACAAGGTTCTGTCAAAATCTTCTAAAAAAAATTCTAAGTTTACTACTACTGCCCTTCTCAGGTTCTGAAATTTGAAAAATGGAAATGACAAAATAAGTTAAAGATTCAAATACTTCTAACTGCTTAACATGACTGCAAATGGAGTTTCTAGGCAGTTCTACGTAAATGCCACTATGGCTCTTTAAATTCAAAATGTAAATATAAAAAATACACCTACTATTATTTTCATATCACTAACAAAAAGCAAAAGCTCATTACTTACCTCGTAGGTTTTTTCCAAACTTACCCGACGTCCACTATCGATTATAAACAAGGTTATTTTATAAACGTGCTTAGGGTCAAAGAAAATAACCAAGCAGACCCCCTTCAAGTTGAAACCTTATGCTCATCAATGTAATGATCAACCATAATTGCAAACACAATCAGAAAAGCAAAAGACAAAATTCAAATACATTTGGGGCCAGAACTGCAAGTTTTTATATAGCTAGTTCATAGATTAATGTTGACTGAGCCATGCTTTAAGCAAGGGATAACTATAAAAAATACTAGTTATTTCACTTCCCTAATGTGGCCATCACGTGTGAGGACCCATCCATATGCTGTTTTCCCTTGAAAATGATCCTAATCCGAACTATTTCAAACAGAAGGATCCTTTAGGATAATAAAGTTACGCTGCAATAATAAAAAAAACTCCGCCCAAGATAACCTTCTCACTACAACTGAGCATTCTGAACTTGCTACAGTTAAGTACTTTACCGCTGCAGTCTCATAAAACCCTCAAGTAAAGAAATTGGAGGCTAGAAAAAAAAATTTTAAAAAATTTTTCCAGCAAGGCTCCCTCCCTTCGGCAAGAGGCCCGGGCCTCGATTGTACTACATCCCCTCGGCCTGCGCCGGGAAACCTGGTGGAGCGCCACCACCCCCACCCGCTCTTCTGTGTGTGGCTTCGCAACGCAATGGCGCCATTTCATCGAGGGGAAGGCAGAGCGCCTGTAACGAGGTGCGCAGGACTCTAGAATCCGAGCTCCAAAGCCTCCCAATCCACCCCGAAACGGCATGAAAACGGGCCGGAAACAGAGAACAGCCACTAGCCGCCTCTACGCGGTGGTGAAAGGGACCCGACTAGCAGACCCGCCGAGTGCTGAACGCAAAAATCGCTGCGAGGAAGGAGACGGGAAAATGGCGGACGCCAAATCCGGTTCCCGGGAGAGGGGGGGAGGGGAGGCTCCGCAGCCTCGCTCCCGCGACCCGGGGGCCGCCAAAACGCCCCGCCGCCAGCACGCCCCGGCCCCTGGGCCCGCGCACTTCGACCGGGGGCGACGACGGCCGGCTCCCGCGCTCCCCGCGCGGACCAGCCGCCCCGCCGCGGCCCGCTCCCATCCCCCACCCCAGCTAAGGGAAATGGCGCCGGGCGGCTGAGGGCGGGGAAGGCGTTCGGACAATCGGGCCTCCGCCAACGACCCCGCACAGAACTCCCCCCGGGCCAACCGCCGCTCGAGCGGCCGCTTTCCCTCCGCCGGCCCGCGGAGGCGGGGGGGGGGGGGGCGGCTTCCACGGCGGCGCCTCCGGCCTCGCCATGCCCTCTCCAAGAACTCATTGATTTCAAACCCGTTACCTCCATCGCGGACTCAGTCGCTTCAGCCCGAGTGCCCGCAGCCGAGCGAGATGAGAAAGATCTCCGCGGACGCACACGCACGGGACTCGTCCTGACGCTGGAGGGAGAGCAGCCGCTGCTCCGAGACACCGCGCCGCGGGGGACACCTGCACCCAGGACCCGGCGCCGCTGCTACTGCCGCTGGAGCCGGGACCGCCGCTTTTCTAGAACCTTCCCCCCACTAACGCGTCTTCGCTGACGTCAGGCCGTTACGTAAACGTCCTAACCGCCGCCAGTGGCGGGAAGGGCCTTACACGCCCCTCCCGCCAACGGCGTGCACCTCCCCCCCTTGGGTTGAGCGAGAGCGCCTTACGTCACTTGCGCAACTGGGCTCAGTGAATGGCGGAAGGCTCGCGCCGGGCGTGTTACTACGTCGGGAATTAGGGCCGGCCCCACCCCCACCCCCCCCGCCCCACCTCGGCGCAGGGAGCCGAGAAACGGTCGCGCAGTTTGAAATTAAACGCTGGCGGGCGGGGCCTAGCTCGCAGTTGGGGCGTGCGGCCTTCTCCACCCTGCGGCTCCACCTTCGCCAATCCTAATCCGGGTTCTCGGGCCACCCTAATCTTTGTACCTGCCGCCAGGGTCCCTCCCAGCAGGACTCGCGGTCCAACGCTCGAGGCCCGAGGCCTTGGGAGCCCGCGCCCTGGGAGAGGTGGCGCTTGAGGAACCCCGCTGCTTCGGCTCCCCCCCCCCCCCCCAAGCCCGCGGGCCCAGGGCGAGGAGGTGGGCGGAGCCCGGCTTTGGCGCGCGGCGCGACGCAGCGAGAGGCCTCGGCGGCGGCGGTGCGGCCGGCCTCCCCCACCCCCCAGGAGACCCCCAAGGCGCCACGCCGCGGACGGTGAGTGGCGCGCACGCCGCCCCCCGCAGGACGCGTTCCCGGCGGGCCCCGCGCGGCCCGAGCGTGGGCGGTGCCTCCCCCCCCCCCCCCCCCGGCCGAGCTGCCCGCGCCCCCTCCCCTCGGATGTGGCTGAGCTGAGGCGCGCCGCCGGAGACTCTGCAGGACCCGCGCGGCCCGGAGATTCGGAGCGGTGAAGTCGGTGCCTTGCTTTCTATCTCGCGCGTGGCGGGGGTTAGGATGCTCCGTGCGCCCGGGCTTGCGGGGAAAGCGGCGGGCCTTGCGCTCCGCCGTGGGTTCCCGGGGCGGCTCGGGGTGGGGGGGGGGGAGAGGTTGGCGGGGCCTGGCCGCCGCGCCGCGCCGCGCCGCTGCACGGGGAGATGGGGCGGTCGTGCAGAGGGTGGGAGCGCGGTGACAGCTGCGGAGACTCCAGACAAAGCGCGGGGCTCCCCTCCCCCAGCCGCGCCGCGGGCCCGCGGGGAGAGCGGCGTCGGCTGGGCCGCCGCGAGGCCCGAGGCCTGGAGCCGCTGCGGCGGCGCGCTCCCCGCTACGTGGCCGCCGCCGGAGGGGGAGGCGCGGGCTGGTGGCGCAGTGCCCTTGAGCCCCCGCCGCCGCCGCCGCCTTTGTTTCTCCCCGCGGAGGCGCTGACCACGAGGCCCGCGCTCCCGAGTGGGGGGCGGGCTCCCTGCCTTAGTCTGTCGACGCGGGAATCGAGCAGGGAAGGGGCCCTCTTCGAAGGGGAGCAGGCATGGAGGATCCAATCCGTTCTAGCTTTGTCAGGACCGTGCTTCAGAGGCCGGAGGCAGGAGTATTGCCCAGACTGGGCTATAGAGTGATACCCACCCCCCTTTAAAAAAAAGGCCAGGAAATAGGACTGAAGCATCAGTGTTTTCCTTTTCCTTCGCGATTGAAGAGGGAGGGCTTCTGAAAAACATCAGGTTGGATTTATCTAGGAGCTCCTTGGACTATTCAGAAGTCCAGAGGGAAAAAAATATGGTAATTTACCGATAGAAATTAAGTAATGATGCCTGATTTTGAAACAGAAGCTTGCCTTTCATACAAAATAAAAAGAATTTGTTACAAATGAGATTTAAATTGGAAAGGTAATTCTCTATTATCACCAAGTAAAGTTGTCTGAGGTACCAGTGTCCTTGGTAAGGTTATCTTTACTAATTGGTTAAAGCACTGACATACTCAAGTAGGTAACACTAATTAATAACGAACTCAGAAGAGTTTTCGCTGCATTTTTATCAGAAATGTGCAGGTTAAATTCCACACAAAACTTGTAGCTGCCATTTGTGTGTCTTGAAAATTTAACTCATGCATTTTTTTCTTGCAATAGTTCTTCAAGTCTTCGATTTAAAAAAAAAATGGCCTCCAATAAAACTACATTGGTAAGTTTGTGAAACCCTAAAACATCTAAGAGTCTTAACTGAAGAATTTTTTTGTTCTTTAAAAATTACAACTAAGAAACCTTTAAGGTAGTGTGGCGCACGCCTTTAATCTGAGCAAGGTGAAGGCAGAGGCAGGCAGATCTCTGAGTTGGAGGCCAGCCTGGTCTACAGAGTGAGTTCCAGAACAGCCAGGGTACTTCTCGGTACTCTGAAGAAAACCTGAGTTGTTGATTTTGAAATATTCTTACTGGCTTTCCATAGGGAGGGTCACAGTGCAGCTTTTAAAACCTGATCTTAAGAGGATTACATAGTAAAACTTTGAGTGTTTTTATTTTGAGATAAAAATGCTTATTTGGGCCTGGTGAGATGGTTCAATCTTCCACCCAAGGAAAAGTGGATGGGGAGAGAACAAGACCCACAAAATCGTTCCCTGATCGCCACACAAGTGGAGATACACTACCCCATGATAACATTTTAAATGAACTTAATTGTGAAAAAAATGTTTCATGGGGAAATCTATAAAGTCTTAGTTGATTGGTGTGATTGTCCTTAAATCTGTGCAGAATTCTAGAGACACCAAGTATTAATGCAGAATTTTAGGATAGATACTTTGTGCACAGTGAATCAAATATAACAACTGCATTGTGTTGCCTTTAGCAAGAATTACAAACTATGTCTACGAATGAAAGAACAGTAGATCAATTCTGTATCTTTTGAGCAATTTCCTGACTATTGCTAAACCCAGTGTTTGTATTCTTGGGTTTTCTAGCAAGTTAGACAAATTTATAAAGACATGTTTATTTTTGTCACGTTATAGTGTTAAAACACACACACACACACACACAAGATAAAACTAGGTCATCTGGACAGTGGTGGCGCATGCCTTTAATCCCAGCACTCCAGACGTAGAGGCTGGTGGATCTCTAAATTCGAGGCCAGCCTGGTCTACAGAGGGAGTTCCAGGACAGCCAGGGTTGTTTCACAGAGAAACCCTGTCTCAAAAAAAAAGCATGACTCCTGGTAAATTCCATCGGATGTTTGTGTAGGTATGCCCCTATATGCTAATAGATTTAAGTATCTTGGTGGTCTTGGGGTGCTGCTGTTTTTTCCTGCTTGGGTCCTTCATTTGGGGGATGGTTTTAGTAGTGACTAGGCATTTGAGGGGTTTTTTGTTTGGTTGGTTTTGATTTGATTGGATTCATTTTAACTGTTTAAGAAGCACCTGTGCACACCTACACTGGAGGAGGCTGAGTCCGGAGGATCACAGCAAGTTAAAGGCTAGACTGGGCTACTGTCTCAAAATTTGTAAAGACTACATAGCACTGTTGTGGAAATGAAATGACTGAGCATACTGTGTTGGGTTGTTGTGGTGTCCCATAGGGGCTTGTAATTAACTATTTCGGGCTTTTAAACACCTACTTTCACTCCCCTTAACAAACCTGCTTATGTGCTGAGAAATCACTCAGGAGTGATGCTGTACCCACCCACCCAGAAAGGAAAAACTTTGATTTTTTTTGTTTTTTGAGATGGTTTTCCCAGGTTGACACTGAACGCTTGATAATCCTCCTATTTCACCTTCCTGGGTGCTGCTAGTGCGCTCATCATGTACACCTCATGCCTCTCCAAAGTAAATTTAACCGGCTACCAGTTAACCCTCTAGGTTGAAAACCCAGGAAGGAAGGGATTTTTTTTCTCCCACCTGTAGAATAAAACCACCATTTTGAACTCTTAAAGTGATATTATTAGATTTGTTTTGAGTGGTCAGGAAAAATTACATGTAATTATTATGGGAAAAATCTTGTCCTTTTTAGTTTACTCATGATCTCCATGACTACAACTCTTCATTTTGCAGGTAACTTTATCCTTGGGACAATTTTAAATTGATACTGCCATTGGGAAAGGGATGTCTTAGAGCTGCAGTTTTAATAGGTTTACTCTGCTACACTTAGTAAGACCTATCATTTAGTGGGGTGTGGTGGTGCACACCTATAAATCCAGTACTTGGGATGTGGACGCTGAAAGATTGGGTATTCAGGGTCTTTCTTGGCTACAAAGTGAATTGGAGGCTCCCCTGGGCTATATGTGACCCTGTCTTGAGTGTTTTTTGTTTTGTTTTGTTTTTCTTTTTTGCTATCACACTTCATTCTTAGTTGCTCTTTATTGGTGTGATAAGTCATCATGACCAAGGCCACTTAACAGAAGAGTTTATTGAGATTCACAGTTTAAGAGGATGAGTCCATGACCATACTGGTAGGAAGATGGCAGCACACATGGCACTGAAGTAGTCGTAAGAGGTCCAGTTTGATCTACAGCAAGCACAAGGCAGAGAGTGCGAAATGGGAATGGCATTGGCTTTTGAAACCTCCAAGCATCACTCCCGGCCCCACCCTGTCCCCCACCCCTTAACATACCTCCTCCAATCCTCAAACAGTTCCCCACCCTGTCCCCCACCCCTTAACATACCTCCTCCAATCCTCAAACAGTTCCGCCACCTGGGGACCAACCATTCAAATATGTGATCCTATGGAGCCATTCTCATTGAAACCACCGCTACTAATACTCCATTCTCTGTCGCTGTCTAATGTTTTCTAGTTATTTGTCACTGTGTTGTTATTAAAATGAGTGGCAATTCTGGTAAACATGGTCTTGTAGGATCCTGGAAATAAAACTGGGAAAGGATAAGGTTGGTTTTTTTGTTGTTATCAATTCTGTCATACTGATGAAGGGTATTGGGTTACAAATGTAAATCAGTGGAGCAAAGCTTTTGTTTTATTATCTATTGACTTTCTAGAAGATGCCTACCCTGGGTCACAGAAGTTTAAAAAGGGTGTTGTTGGGTTTTTGTTTTATTTGAAAATAAAAAATTGTGTCAGATGAATAAACAATTTGGCCTTAAAATGTACTCAAGGTTTTTTTTAAATTTTCTTAATTTCTCTTTTGTTTTAGCAAAAAATGGGAAAGAAACAGAATGGAAAGAGTAAAAAAGTTGAAGAGGCAGAGCCTGAAGAATTTGTGGTAGAAAAAGTACTGGACCGACGTGTAGTGAATGGGAAGGTGGAGTATTTCCTCAAGTGGAAAGGGTTCACAGAGTAAGAAACTTCTTATGGTTTGTTTTAAGCCAGGGTGTCTTATATAGCACAGATTATACTTCCAAGTGCTGGGATTAGAAGAGTTTGACATGCCTCATTTATGTTTTTACTTATTTTTTTGTTCTGTTGAGACAGGTTCTTGTGAATCCTAAACTACTCTTGAACTTGCTATATGGCCAAGAATAACCTTAAACTCTGATCTTTCTGATTCTGCCTCCCCAGTGCAGACATGCACCGCCACACCTGGTTTATGTGAGACTAAAGATTGAACCCAGGATTTTCATGCATGCTCGGCCAGCACTCTTGATCAACAACATCCCTGGTCCTTAACTTTAGAATCTGTAATTGTACTTAGAATATTCTTAAATTTTACTTTTAGCTTAAATATTTTAACAGTTTGCCCAAAGATTTATTAGAAGTCAGTTTTAGTTCCAGAATTACCTTGTTTGAGGTTTATTTAAGGCGTTAGGGTTCTGAAGAGATGACTCAGTGGTCCTTAAAGAGGACCAGGATTCAATTCCTAGCACCCACATGGTAGCTCATAATCATCCCTAGCTCAGGTTCCAGGGTATCCAGTGCCATTTTCTGACCTCTTCAAGTACCAGGCACACACATGGTGCACATGCATACATAAGTGCAGGAAAAAAAAGAGACACTCATACGCACAAAAAAATAAATTTAAAAAACTCAAAGCTTTAGCAGTGGTTGAAACTAACATATTAGAGTTTAATTTATTGCTATAGAGTCAAACTTAGAAAATTAAAGCTCACTAAAGCAATTTTGAAGCTAGCACGCAAAGGACTAAATGCCGTGGCATTTTTAAACAAAGCATGTTGTAATGGATTCTCATTCCCTTATCTCCCACTTCCTACCTCGATCTCTCTGCATCTTTCATGTCCCAGTGTGTTCTTTCACTAAAGCATTTTAATGTTGTATTAAACGTACTAATTTGAATATCTATGACCAAGAGCCTAAATTTTACAGTATATATTTATAATGTAGAAGACAATACTGAAAATAACACTAAATTTGAGGTATCAGCCCTCCTTCCAAAATTAAGCTTTCCCAATGTTACAGTCTGAAGATATCAGCAGACCAAATTATTGAGTACCAAATGTTACTGGCACCAAATATCTCTGAAATTACTCATTCCATATAGTTCTATAAAGATACTTGTGGCTGGGGCACAAAACAGTCTATGCATTGTTATAAGGTGACCATACTTCTGTATTTGTGAGGTGATGCTCATTTTCTTCACGATTCTTCTGCAGAACATATGGGAATGGTTACTTCAGCCTTGTGCTGAGGCAGGAATTGGCAGTCTCTTCCCCAAAGCATCTTTATGTGGCTGTTTTAGGCTTTGTGGGCCATTGATTTGTCTGCATGAGCATCATAAAAGCAGCAGTATCTAATGTATTAAATGAGCATGACTATTTCAGTGACAGCTTATGAACCCTGCCTGAAATTACTTTATTTTCATTTCTTCCCGACCTTAAAAAGTTTTTTTAAGGGAAAAAATTTTGAGCTGGGCATGGTGGTACAGTACTATATATAATTCCAACACTGAAAGCTTAGGAGTTGGAGGCCAACCTGGGCTACATGGTGATGCTATATCTTTTTAAAGGGGGCAGGGTTGATGCTTTGCAGACCATGCAACAGACTAGATTTGGCTTTTTTTTTTCTCCCCAGCCCTTGCTTTATATCATTTCCCAAATTGGGAACCCACCAAAACTTGAAAACATTTCACATATGAGAATATGTCAGAATCTTTATCTCTAGACATCATTGGAGATCCCAAACCTAGGCAAAATATGTAAGGAATTAGGAATCACTGTTTTTAAAAATCCTTCTATAGTTCCAGCATTGAGAGTTCTTCACAGCCAGCTTGTGGTACATATGACATTGTCCCCCACTTTAAAAAAAAAAAATTTTTTTTTTTTTTTTGAAAACTCAAAGGATTGGAATGTAGTGTAGTTTAATTGGTACAGTGCTTACCTGGCATGCACAAAGCTTTGGGTTTGATCCCCAGCACCAAATAAACTGGGTGAGATAGAGAATTCCTTTTATTCCAGGACCTGGGAGGGGGACAGGAGAATGAGGACTGGGTTACAGAAGAAGTTGGAGGCCAGCTGGGGTTACATGAAGGGAGTTGCATAGGAAGCAGAAAGATACTACTATTGACTGCCCTTAGAGTCAGGTTCAACTGCCTTGGGGTTAAAATACCAGATTGCTCATTTAGGCATGTGAAGAGGGGCGTGAAAGAAATTGGACATTTTTAAATAATATAAGGAATAGAACATTTCTATTATTATTCTACCAGTATTAGTGTTTGTCATATGGAAACTTTTTCCCAGATAGCTATAAACCAGTCCAGGTAATGGCAATGTTTAATTGAATCAACCTTTTGTTTTCTTTAACTGAACACAGTGCTGATAATACTTGGGAACCAGAAGAAAATTTAGATTGTCCAGAATTAATTGAAGCATTTCTTAATTCTCAAAAAGCTGGTAAAGAAAAAGATGGTACAAAAAGGAAATCTTTATCTGACAGTGAATCTGATGATAGCAAATCGAAGAAGAAAAGAGATGCTGTAAGTATAAAGTCCTGCCTGTTAGACTGGGTCTATATAACAAAAGTTAATAGCTTGAATTTCATTACTTTGAACCTTCCTCCGCCTCCCCAGCTAGGATACTTTTTATTTAGTCTATATTTTGTTCTTTAGCTTCCAAAGTGATGAGTTTTGTTATGGTTTTTTGTTTTTTTTGTTTGGGTTTTGTTTTGTTTGTTGGGGGGGTTGTTTCTTTTTTGGGTTTGTTTGTTTGTTTGTTTGTTTCAAGACAGGTTTTCTCTGTGTAGTTTGGAGCCTGTCCTGGATCTCGCTCTGTAGACCATGCCGACCTTGAACTCACAGAGTGCTGGGATTAAAGGCATATGCCACTGCTGCCCAGCTTGTTTTGGTATTTTCATGCATATTTATCATTATGTTTTGTTCTAATTCATCTCTCTATCCCTTCCCATTTTGGTTAGTTTCCTTTTGAGGGTTGGGTTTGAGGCAAGGTCTCATGTAGCAGAGAATGGCCTTGAACCACTCATCGTTTTACCTCTGGCATCCTGATACTGGATTCACAGGTGTTCACCACAGTGCTTACTTTAGAAAACTAGACTAGGTTAGGGGTTTTGGAGACAGGGTTTTACCGTGTAACCCTTTCTGGCTTCAAAGTCACAGAAATTTGCCTGCTTTTGCCTCCTGAGTGCTGTAATTAAAGGCATTACCACCATGCCCAGCTAAAACTAGAAGGCTTTTTTTTTTTTTTTCCACGTGTATGGTATTTTGCCTGCCTGCGTGCATGTGTGCACCCACCACATGCCTTCTTGGTGTTCCAGAAGCCAGAAGAGGGTATCAAATCCCTTGGGACTGAAATGCAGGCAGTTGTGAGCGACCATGTAGGTGCTGGCAATTGAACTCAGACTCTTTGGTAGAGTAGCAAATGCTTCTAACTGTTCCAGCCCTAGAATACTTTTTAAACTCCAATTGAGAAAAAAAAGAAACTTTTTATAGAGCCATTCGTGATTGATAAATAAGGTAATTGTACCTTTAGGCCTTTAAAATCATTGAATTTACCTTGTCTATTGGCCTAGTGTGATAATTGAAGGAAAAGATTTGGTGCTGAATTAGTCACCAACTCCAAGCATGCAGCACACATTAAATTAGTAAAGGACTAATGGGCTTCAAATGTGTTCATTTGAATAAGTGTCAAGAATTTTGCATATATAGGTCATTAATCTTAATACCAACCCTGTTAAGTCTAGATAATGACCCAATTTATAGATAAGAAAACAAGATTATTATAGATGAAGATCTGAAAATAAAGCATATATATAAGGGAAGCAGAACTTTGGTAGTAATGCCTAAGCTATATTGAGCCAGCAATGTTCTAAATAGTTTAATTCATATTGATGCACTCCCAAAAACCTATGACATAGGGACTGATTATTTTTGATAAATAATTGACTTACCCAACCCACAGACCTTTAAAGAGGTAGAGTTGTCATTCTAACCCAATCTGACTTCAGAGCCTAGTTACACTGATGTGAAACTTTAATAATTTTAATTTATTGACATCATTAGTTCCCAAATACACTCCAGAATTATGTGGGCTATAACTGCCAACATATTTGTTTTGTTTTAGAAATTGAAAAACAGCCAGGTGGGGGCCTGGCTTTAGTCTACTAGTGCGGGGGGAAGCAAAGACAGATGGATCTCTCAGATTCCCAGAGCAGCCTGGTCTATAGAGTGAGACCCTGTGAGGGATCAGGGACAGACAATTTTAGGTCTGGAGAACTCAATACTTAAGAGCAATTGCTGTTCTTTCAGAGGACCCATTTAGTTCCCAGCACCCACTTGGTGACTCCTAACAGTCTGTAATTCCAATTCCAGTGGGTCTTCTGACTTCCACAGCACCAGACACACACATGGTACACAGTCATACATGCAGGTAATACACTCAAGTGCATAAATAAAGATTTTTCTTTTCCTAAAGAAAACAGTTTTAAAGTACTAGTAATTAAAGAGCACAAACTACTCTAGTAGAAACCCTCAAGTTCAGTTCCTAGCACCTATGTGGATACTCAAAATTGCCTGTTACTCCAGCTCCAGAGGATCCAAAACCCTTTCTGGCCTCCAAGAGCACCCATACTTATACAGAAAAATACACATAATTTTTTAAAAATAACAATGCCAAAAGAAAAACAAGTAATGGTTTAAGGCCAGAACTGATTGGAAACTGGGCAAAGTGACATTCACCTATAATCCCAACACTTGAGAGGTAAATTCAAGGTCTTCGGCTATAC